GCAACGCACCCGCAATTCTCCTGGTGTTGCGGTTGATCATGGGCGGCGGTAGTCACTTAACATCAGGTGAGCCGCATGCTCGTTTGCCCCTTGTTCTATAAAAAAAAAATGTTGCGCTTCAGAGAGGGACCAGTGGCCGTCATGGCCGACATACAAGATATGTTCCTCCGAGTCAAAGTTAGAGAGGACGACCGAGACAGTCTCAGGTTCCTGTGGCGCGGAAGCCGAAGAACTGGCAAGCCTAAAGAGTATAGAATGTCTTCAATCATCTTTGGGGCAGCGTCATCGCCGGCAACAGCGATATACGTATTGAACAAGAACGCAGAAGAATTTAAGAACACTCATCCCGAAGCAGTGAAAGCAATTAAAAGAAACCATTACATGGACGACTATCTACGAAGTTTCGCGTCTACAACTGAAGCAAAGAAGATATCCAAAGAAGTGAAAGATATTCACGCAAGAGCAAACTTTCATCTGAAGGGTTGGGCCAGTAACAATTCAGGGGTACTATCAGAAGTAGAAGACACCAATAAAGAGAACTCCTTGCAACTGACAAAGGAATAAAAGACTCCTGTGCTAAGATGGCTAGTAAAAGAAGATGCATTAGCTTTCAACGTCGGGCTACGCAACACGTCGGAGGATCTCCAAGATGGCAGAAGAACTCCAACAAAGAGAGAAGTCACGAGCGCTGTGATGTCCACCTTCGATCCAATGGGTTTTGCAACACCGGTCCTAATACAAGGAAAGAAACTAATCCAAGGTATCTGGAGAAAGAATAGACTGGGATGAACCAATTAACGAACAACCAAGGGAAGCCTGGATGAAATACTTAGAAGAAGTATCAACATTAGCAAGGCTGAAGATCCCAAGATGCGTCTCACCCAAAGGCAGAAAAGGACTACATACGTTCACCGACGCGAGCGAGGAAGCCTACGCAGGAGTAGTCTACTGGAGAATAGTCGAGCCCGGAGGAAAAGTCCATGTCTCCATGATCGCCGGCAAAGCAAGGGTAACACCGACGAAACCAGTATCAATTCCGAGGCTAGAACTACAAGCGGCTTTACTCGGAAGCAGACTAGCCGCCACAATTGAAGAAGAGTCAGAGCTCGAAATATCGAAAAAGATTTACTGGACCGATTCCAGCACAGTACTGCAGTGGATAAAGTCGGAACAAAGAAAATTCAAAACATTCGTGGCCAACCGACTTGCAGAGATTGAAGAGAAGTCCAAGCCAGAAGACTGGAGATGGGTACCAACTAAAGAGAACCCAGCAGACGACGCCACGAGGGGAACCCCAATCGAATTCGACCACAACGCCAGATGGTTCAAAGGTCCGTCATTTCTCCGTCAACCAGAAGAAAAATGGCCGTTTCACGACTTCAAACCAGAGAGTATTATGCCAGAAGAAAAGCTCAAGCAAAAGGTGTTGGCAACAATGGCAGCAGAAGTCATCCTTTTGAATCCAGAAAGATTCACGAGCTGGGAGCGACTGCTGCGCACTACAGCCAGAGTGGTTCCCTTTGCACACTACCTATTAAAGAAGAGCCATAAAGCGACCACCACCGCCACGCGCCCGAAGGATGAGCCTTGGAAACCACAACAGAAAATCCAGAAGAAAGAAGCACACGCCTCAAACCCATCAGCCAACAAAAATGAAAATAAGCGGCTATATCTACCCCTAGAAGAAGAACACTTAAAGAAGGCCGAAGAATTATTAATGAAGATAAGCCAGACAACAGTTTCGCGTCAGACATAGGAAAATTGACAGCGGAAAAACCTTTAGAGAACTCAAGTCGACTCAAGAAAATCGACGTTTACGTTGGAGGCGATGGAATTATCAAATTAAGAAGTAGGACAATGAAATTCCACGACCAAAACGAAAGAAGAATGAATCCTATCGTTTTAGATGGGAAACAAAAGATAACCCGTCTAATAATACAATACTATCATAAGAAATTCCTTCACGGAAACACTGCTACAGTAATGAACGAAATTCGTCAACAGTTCTGGATCCTGGGTTTAAGAGCGACTTTAAAAGCTTTAAAAACAGCTGTCAATGGTGCAAGACAAAAAAGAGTTCACAAGAGATACCCCCGACGGGAGACCTACCGAGCGAGAGACTGCAGCATCATCAGTTTCCGTTCTCCTGCACAGCCGTAGACTACTTCGGGCCGATGCAAGTCACCATCGGAAGAAGAACTGAGAAGCGCTAGGGAGCTTTATTCACTTGCCTCACTACTAGAGCAGTACATCTAGAGCTAGTACCTTCTCTCAGCACTAGCTCAATGATCATGGATCTCCGAAGAATGGCAGCCAGAAGAGGGACGCCGAAAACTATATTCAGCGACAACGGGACTAACTTCGTCGGAGCCAAAAGGGAACTAGAAGAGGCCGCACAAGAAAAAGGTATCAAGTGGAAGTTTATCCCCCGGGAGCACCGAATATGGGAGGTGCCTGGGAGAGACTTGTACGAACAGTCAATACGGCGCTAGCAGTAGTCCTCAACGAGAGAAGCCCACCCGAAGAAGTACTACATACACTAATGACCGAGGTTGAACACATCGTCAATTCGAGACCCCTCACCCCGATCAGCATGGACCCAGAAGAAGAAGAAAACCTAACACCGAACCACTTTCTGCTGGGAAGATCATGCGGAGCGATGGCGCCGGGAGAATTCAGTGACACGGAGCTGATCGGAAAGGCAAATTGGAGGACCACTCAAAGACTCGCAGACCATTTCTGGAAACAATGGATCAAAGAATATTTACCTCTCCTGATGCCAAGAAAACCTGAAAAGAGAGAAACCAAAGACCCAAGAGAAGGAGACATTGTGCTGATAGTGAACGCTACGCTACCACGAAACCGCCTCGCGGAGAAGTTATCAAGACCTATCCCGGACCAGACGGAAGAACCAAAGTGCTGGACGTGCGGACATCAGGAGGAATATTTCGCCGCCCAACTCGACGTGTCATCGTGCTGGTACCAGCAAAATCGTCGCCTCCAGAAGATGAAGTGCTACGCACCGTGGGGGAGAATGTTAGCGACGACAAGTGAATTTAAACATTTAATCTCAATTGTTTCTTATTTGTGATCTAAAGCTAAGTGTAAAGACTGATAGCGTTAATACCAAGAAAGTGAATTAATTACTTATATTAGCTTCAATTCTTATTTCAAAACTACGTAACGAAAGTTAGTAACAAAGTCTGTAACGAAAATATGAATCTAATTGCTTATTTAGGTTTAATTAGAATGTTGGAAACGAAATATGAGTTTAGTTACTTATTAGAACTTTTTCTTATTATAATTTTAAAGAGCTGTATTAGAGATATTAACATTTAAGTGTAAATTTAATGATTTGTTCGATTCTTTTTCTTCTGTAGTAATTTAAAACGATAATATGTCAATTAATCACTTTTGTAATCTAATTTCTTATTATAAAAATAGATTTTAATTTAATAAGAAGTTAAAATATATTCTGTATAGAATCTTAAGCATAATATTATCATGATAAACATTGTGCATTCCTGCCGCCTGGCGGCGCTACTTGTATTTTAAGCGGAAAAAGCTTAGCTACTACGGAGCTAAACCGTAGGAAGACCGCGCACATTTAAATTTTTTACAAACGTAAATTAAGAGTTTTATGAATGTTTAATGCTCGAAATAATAAAGATAAATTATCTCTACTGCCAGGAATGTATAAAAACATTGTAAGGTATGTTTTACCACACATATTAAAGAAATTTATAAATTTCCTTTAGAAAAGGTCGTTCTGCGCTCTGTTTGGTCGACGGGAATCATTAGTGCCGTGTGCAAATTCATTAGTGCCGTGTGCAAATTTTGTTAATTCTGATTGGGCACGTCCTATAAAAAAAGGTGTTTTTTGTGGTAAAACATTCCAAATCCGGCAATGTAAGAATAAAGCATCAAGAAAAAAAATAAGAAGAAACTCTGAAGAAATGTTATTTATTGCTCATATAACTGCTACTGCATGCTCTCCAGTTAACATCCCGCTAGCATAACCCGCTCCATTACTAACATTCTCACACACGAGCATCAACAATTACTACATACTAGAACAGGCACCAAGAATTGTTTGCAACACATGTTAAAGTCCAAGGGCTCTAACTCAATCGCAACGTGACATACTTCAGAAATAAGTAAGAACCTAATAAATACGCCTATCCCAAACTAAAGTGCTGTGTAAACCACTCGAGAAAAGAATTAAAGGCTAAGAAAAGACTGCGCTTAAGTTCCCTGTACTATTGATAAAACACACGAAATTTCATTATTTTTATCTACTGTCACGTTTTATCAATTGGCCATGTTTCCGTAAAATTATAGATTAATTTTTAATCAGATGTGATACTATAGATGATGTAATCAAAAAGAATATTATCACTATGTTTTGGTAATAGTTGTGATTTAAAGTAAATATCAGATAACAAACGATAAAATATGTAATACCATTGAAATAATATATACTTCATTTTATGTTTATTTGTTGCAATTTAAGTTTTTTTTTTAAGCTATACACAGCATTAGGTTAAATAATATCGTCATCAAAACAACCTGTTATTTTACTATATTTCCTTACAGTGATTCATAAGGCATGTCCTGTACTGCCGAACGATTCTTAGGGATCGACTTTGAATACTGAATACGACTTCTAATTTGTATGCCCCTTTGGTCTAGATTTCAATCATTGAGCTATTATGTACTACGTACTAGAATAGACACCGCGAACAAAATCGCGATAACATCATACATACAAAATAAAGTACATAGAGTTGAAATGAGAAACTTCTCCTTTTTTAAAGTCGGCTAATAAGATCTATCATTTCACAGATTAAAAACAGAAGTGTTCCATAGATGAGCATTTGCTGCGACACGACAATTTTACTAAGAACATTATCGAAGGAAACTTAAAGGGAAAAAGAAGAAGTGGTAGATCAACAAAGAGATACATATATTATGCTTGTGTTGTTATGTGCTTACAATACCTTTAAATAGTCCGCAGCTTTATCCCTTTGAAGTGTTTTAAAAGCAACCACGAGTTTCTTGGTTTCGTCGAGTTTCCACAATGCTTTGTATGTAGCTGTTACATTTTCAGATCCCATCTTTTCAGATCCTGTAAAAAAGTAGATTTTTTTAATTTTCTTATTGATAAAATATTATTTATTCGAATAATTAGAATTTGTTTTAGTGAAATGCAGAAATAATTTTCATCCGGTGTAAAATAACTTTAAAATTAGTTAATAATTATTTTCATCATTATAGCGATTAGCTACGATCTGGATGAAAAATAAAAATTGTGTGTATTTCCTAGTTTAAAAAGCACCAGGCGCTTACGCTACACTTAACACAACACACACACACACACACACATATATATATATATATATATATATATATATATATATATATAAATATATATATATATATATATATAGTCGTAGGATCCACACTACACTGTACTGTGTGCGCTATTCCACTAATCCCAACAACATGTAGTGGACAAGTGTGTCCCTCTAACAGGACGTTTGCACTGAAAAACATCCAACACGTAATGTTTTGACACAAATTCCATAAAATAAATCACACAACATGTTTTGATGGTGGCGTTCGCACTCACAAAAACTGTGTAAAATTTTCAACAGATACTCAAAATTGTCTTTCAACATGACATTATTTCTACAAATTTGTTTTCAAACTTTTTTGTAGTTATACAGATGTAATATAGTTAAAATATGTAATGTACAATAAACTGCCAAATATGTTTCACAACAACATGTTCTTTGACTATGCAAACGCTTTTTGATACATTGACAAAAAACAGTGTTTAAACATGTTCTTTTTGTGAAAATCGCGTCAGTGCAAACTCACGGTAAACGAGGCATTATGTGGAGCAAATTGTTATTAATTTTACCGCCAACAGCTGATAAGCTTCTTTCTTATTTACCTATAATTGCAAGGTGCTTTTGATAATGCAATCAAATTGAAGGAAAACAAGCTATAATATCCCTAACACCTGTCTACCTCTATAATTTTAGTTTAAAATGCACTTAACATTGTAAATAAATAAAAAATATTTAGAATATTGTCACACCTTAGTACTTGAAATGAAGCAATTAATATTCAAACAATGATAATTATCCTAACTGATACAAAAACTTCACAATATTAAAAAAAAACTTGTTAATTTTCCATTTTTCGCGCCCATACCTGTATAGAGTAATATGTCTTTGTTAGGCAGACACCGTGGACTCTTATTGTCCTTAAGTATTTCCTGCAATTCCGCCTGGTCAATTCGAACACCTTTCTTTACCGGCTCACCACACAAAAGTAACTGGGATTTGTCTACGAAAATAAAACAAATTCATTATTACTTATTAGGTCATTGCACTATGACCAAATTATCACAAAAAGGGTCCCATTCTCTACACTCACCATACAGAACACAACAGCATGTAGCTGCTACTCTGAGAGCGTGGTCCTTTCCGGGTCGAGCCGACCAATACCCGGTGGTACATATATACACATACAAAATATACTTAATAATTTGTTTGTATATATGTACCACCACTACACACACACAATAACCAAGCGGCAGTATAGCTCTAACCCGTGAGATCATAAATATATACATATTTAAAAGTCATGGGTTCTTCCTTCTGTATTGCCTATTGCTATCAGGTGTCCATGTACTATTAGCTAATTTGCCACCCTAATGTAAAAGACCAATGAGAAGAATAAAGAATTTAAATTTTTTTCCAGCCCATATACATATAATTTGTATGTGTTGTTACAAAAATCTTACCATATTCTGAAGGAGGTATACATTCATTTAGGAATATCCTTCCTTCAGGGTTTTGATGACAACTGACTAGCCTTTCAATGCTGAAGTACTCCTCTTTATTAATTATGTAGCAATGTCCCTTAAATTCCAACCTATATGTCTCAGTTGTGCTAAAACCATTAACATAAGTTTTAAATATTACATTGGCGATTCTGTTACGCTCATGAATAAGCAATTTCTCACATGAGACTTAGGCTCACCTGTTTTTCGTACAAACGTCCAAATAGAACACGTTATAGTCATCCTGACATTGCCTTAATATGTAACAACCGTGTTTCTTTCCACGTTTCTCCTCTAATTTACGATATGAGAATGCACCCCTGCATAGAATGGAAACATTATTTTTTTGTATATGATATTTCATTTTTGATGTATGATATTTTTGATGTATGATATTTTCTGTATATTGATATACTCACCCGACAGGGCCATGGCATTTTATCCTGTGTAATTCTTTCAAGGAGGGTGTTTCGTCGTCTTTTGATAAATTAAATGTCCATTTTACCATCAACCTGATAAATAATTAATCATTTAATACATGTGATTAAAATATTATATAGAAATGACTCTTATAATATAGTGGCATACAAACCTATAGTATCCATCACATATTGAAATAAATGATGATAGTTGCTCTTCCTTTTTAAATTTGAAAAATAACGGTGTTCCCCGTCTAGAAACTTCAACTGAATTGTCACCATTTCTTGTTAGGTAAATTAACTCTTCTATAGTACAAACATGAAACCACTGTAAAGGGAACAATTATTAACAAATTATTTCTTTAAACAAAATATACCATCATCATAATCATTATAGTTAATCCACTGCTGAACACGGGCATCCCAGAAGGAATGCCACAATACAGGTTCCGGGGCCACCTGCATCCATATTTTTCCTGCAGTGTTTACCAGGTCATCACTCCAACTAGTGAGGGATCGTCCTACGATTCGCTTTGGATGGGAGGCTATTGAGGACCTTTCTTCTCCAGAAAATAATTACATAATATTATACTTGTAACTAAGTCATACACCAGCCATGGTCGCTCAGTGGCAAAGTGCTCGTAGTTAATTTCATGGTTTCAGATAAATGAACTTCGGTTTTCGATTCAAACTGACATTGTTTTGAAACTAATTTTAAAAGTTCTTACTCCCAAATCAATTCGAATCAAATACACGATCGTTTGCACCGCTAACTCGAATACAAACATCACTGACAGAGATATGGGACCCCTGTGGTTTATTGAGGCCTAAGAAAACAAACGGCTTTGTACTATCTAACGGCTCTTCCAATTCCTTTACCTCTTTGGTCGGGGAAATAAAAGCTGAGACTTTCTCTCTGTCAGTTGTTCAACAATTACTTTAGCAAAAGCTCTTATATCAAGTTTCAATGTAACCATAATGTTTAAGCCCTCACGCAAATTAAAAATCGAATAAATAACTCGTACTTTACTTTCCGTCAAAATTATTACTAATACTGTATCATTTTAACTTTAGAAAATTTGACAGTACAAACACGATCTTGTCCTTATTTTCTAATAATTTTCAATGATAATAAGCTTTAATTTAAGTAAATGCAAGATGACTGAAGTGAAAAGTTGATAGATGTATTCTTACACTTTCAGTGCATTCTCACGTGTTGCGTGCAACGTGCATATAGCACAGCCTGATAAGTAGTTAATTTATAGGTGGCGATAATAGCCAGGGAAGTGGCACAAGCTCCGTCTGTACAGCACGTGTTCTATATTATACAGAAACGTTAGGAAACTTTTGATAGCGTGATTCAAGTTTCGATTATGACGTGGTTTACGCTATTGTGACGCAATGACGACGCCTACACATCTGTATTCTACCGAGTACCCGTGCCACAGACGCAGTGGCAACACGGCCATCTGCCTCACATGTTTCTTTCCAGAAAGTAGATATCCGTATACACCAGCGCATCATCCGCAAAGCCTGAAAATTAAATCCACGACGTTTTTTTGCCACCAGGGCGGCGCCACTGTAACGTGGCGCAGAATTTCTATTGTTTGAATGTTATTCACAATATTACTGTTTATGTCTGGTACATTTCTTAAATTTTATAATAATTAAATTAAAAATGGATAAACCAAACTACCGATTTTTAAAAGTAGAAGAATTAAAAAAGAACTAAAAAATAGAGGTGCAAAATGAACAATTATTATTTATTATGTTATGTTTTTATTTTTACTCAATTAAACATTTGTCCTTCAATATTAAAGTCGTTAAGTTTTATTAAAGTCGACCTTAAGCATACATCAAATTATTTTTATTAATTGTTTTAATTAAAAATATATTTTAATTTATGTGTAATATGCGGGTTGGGCCAGTGTGTATTGCCAGCTATGAAATACGGAACCGAAAAGTGGTCCTTCACTGCTGGATGTATGAATTCAAGGTCACTCAGCGTACGGTCGAAAGTGTGCTCGCTGAAATGCTCGGAATTTCTCTGGGAAAGAACAAGAGTAATTGAAGTAAAGTGACAGTAAGCTGAAGTGGCAATGAGCTCTTCATAGCGCGAAGAATCGACAATCGATGGGGAAAGAAGTTAGGCGAGTAGCAGCCTCTTACAGCCACTGATGGAGTGACTATTCAATGTCGATGGATGCACGTAGCTCACGACCATACTTTGCGGCAATCTTGTGACTTGTGATTGTCTAGTTTTGTGCATGTGCTGAAAAATAACTATAACAATATCATGGGCAATTATGACGAAACAATCATTGTAAATCATTCCTACTACACGTTACAGCAGTGGATTGTTAACTGTTATCTTCATTGTACATATTGTACAACTTGTTCATTTCAAGATTGCCGTTACCTCCCGCCGCGCTCCCTCACTCCGCGACTCAAGCGTCGCTCTATTAGTACCGATAGCAGCTCGCCTTCGTAATGTTTTACGTATTTGAAATGTTTAAATTTACATTTAAACATAAAACTATTATATTTTAATTACAATATTTTATAATTGTTTTGGACACGTTCCTATTCACTGTTATTTTTCACTGTACTAAATAAATTATTTTATAATATATACCTATTATATCTACTTGTTTGCTGTCAATTTCTATGTACAGGAAAACAAACTACTTACTTAGATTTGTTCAATTTGACAAAAAAATAATCATCATGTTTATGTGATGTGGTAGATAAAAATGATGACTTATTTGTCTACGGTACCGTCAGCTGTGATATCATAACGGTCGACGACGGCAAACTTGAAATGAACGCGTAGTAATTTAAATTAACAATATTCGTAAATAGTTTATTATTGTTCTAAGCTTCTTTTACCAGTAAACAATGGATTATGTTATAATTTCGCCACACTAAATTCTTCCAGCAAAGTAACAACAATTTGAATTTTACTTACATCACGTTTTAGTGTATTGTACAGTCTTATTCCAGGTTGATGCGGATGAAAAGGTGCCACTACTACACGTACAGGTATAACATCTTCACCGTTTTGCCACAAAACATTATCATACTCTTCTGACAAATAGTTTGGAGCTAAGCCATACAACTGCTGCAGGTATAGATTTTTTACATAGCTTAAAGAGACAGAGAAAAAAGAGTATTTAATACAAGAAACTATAAAATTTAAAAAAGTAAATATGGTTAAGTAGTCTCGTCATCAGGCCTCATCCATCACCCCTCCTCATCAGGCCACGTAAACATGAACCGTTGTATTCTTACTACATAGAATATCATATGTATATCCCATAGAATACTATAATACATACATAATAGAACGGGGGAGTGGGCGGAGCCCGTGAAGCCACTAACATGTCAATTCACACGTATAAATGTCAACACAATCAATCGTTTCCAATTTTCGCGTCAAGCGTCGCTGCATCCATATTATTTTAAAAACGGCAAATTGTGCAATAATTACGTGTCGAAAGAACAGCGGGAAATGGAATTTAAATATAGGGACATATCCTACAACCAGTACATAAGTCGAAACTATTTATATTTCGTGAACATTAGAAACAAAAATAAAGAAATAGTGATTTGTCAAAAACATTAATCAAAAGTTAAAAATGTGCAAATTCGCTCAGTCCATACAACGATTCGGGTTTTAGTAGTGATTATACGACGTAATTGCTTTGTATGTGTGCTCCCGGCAACACCGATCCTCGTACAAAATAAGGTTGACAGCCATTCCATTTTGTACTATAGTATTCTATGACATATTTCAAGTAGGAAGAAAGATTAGCCTTAATCTACACGCTTGTTGACGGCCAACGTTTAACGTTGCTTCTAGTCCAGTCTGGGCATTTAATACCTACCTACCTACCGGAGTTCACATGGGCCCCACTCATAATAGGAATTGGCCGTAATCGCCACACTTGTGAAAAATTTTTAAGAAAAAGAAGATTGCTATTTATTTGTAAAATTTATTTTATTTTATTTTCAAATCTTTATTGCATTTCCTTAGAAAAAAAGGATACAAAGGGCGGACTTAAAGCCTAAAGGCTTTCTCCCTCTACTAGTGAACTCATGGAGTGGTGAGAGTCTAGGTCTAGGTCTATCAATTCAATGAAAAAAGAAAAGAAACTAAAATAAATACACATTACACGTAAAAAAATAGATTATGACATAATATTTTAAGTAGATACATATATATCCTAGCCTATTATTTTCCGGATCATATTGATAGATCCATGTCTAGTCAACAGTAACGATTTCTGAAACATGCCTAGATGCCCCGTTTTCAAAACGTAGACGCATTTCGTGGCACCAATCCACACGAGTCTGATTTTCGCTTTCGGAGACCAAACGAGGGATCCATCGGCAACAAAGCTTTCCCACTCTAAGATGTTGATGTAGGATTGTATGAATGCTCCCTGAACTAACGTCTACAATCTTTTCGAGGTCCGTATAATATGTGATTCGTGGGTCTTCTCGCACCAACATTTCAGTAGTCCATACATTTTCTGTCGTTACTGCTGTTTGCGGGGACCCGGTTTTTTGGTCATCGTTAAGGTTAATTTTACCCCATTTGAATTCAGCAAACCACCTAAAAACTGCTACGTGTGATGGAGCTAAATCCCGATTGTAACCGTTGTAAAGTTAATTGTTCGGTTAAACCAAATTTAAAGTCATAATAGATCATAGCGCGCAAATGTTAACTGTTAAGATCCATTGTTTTAAATAAAAAGCGCAGGAAGCGTTGCAGGAAAATTAATAGCACTTTGTTTTTTTTTTTTAATATTGAACAATTGGCTTATGGAGTTCTATTTTTAAATAAATTTGCTTTTTAGAAACATACAACACGGTTGCGTTCCATTTTTAAATTTCGAGCATCTCAAAACTTATTGAGTGACCTACGTAGAGCCAACTTTAGTCTTTGCACACGGATGGGTCGGCTTGAATCGGGGACGTAACACGACTTCACTGAATACTAGCGTGAAGTAGAAGCTTTGCTTCTGGGTTTGGCTTGGCCAGTGCAGATGGCCGGAGACCTAACCTCCCCCCCCTCCCCTTCCGTAAAATGGTAGCGGAATTTAAAAATAAAAACTAACCCCAGGAGGATAACAGCATCCGCGGTAATAGAGAATCCCTGACGGAGCATTCACGTCCAAACTACCCTTCTCATCCTGAGCGTGGGTGCTCAGGCTGCCCCGCGTATTCTGTGGGGGGGGGGGGGCAAAATCCCATTCAACGTCAATGTATTAAACCATGGCGACACCTACTACGCTAGCCGTGGACTTCTCCAATATGTACTTCATTCGAACCTTAACGCCATCCCACTACCATCTGAAGACAGCGTAGCCGATCGGACTTCGCACCATTTTTCTTCGCACCTGTCCTACCCGGGGTACAGATTAGAACACTTCTTGTGCCTCGGGCTGGAGTTTGCATATACGTTATAGAGGATATCTGTTCTCGACGTCTCGGCAGTCTTGAAGGTCCTGTCCATCCTTTGGCTGCGCGTAAACAGCGACGACTATCCGCGCGTCTACGTGTGCCTCTATAGGTCCCATAGCGGTAATGCCGAAACAGACCGACTAATCGCCCACGTCTAAATGGCTACAGATTCCTTGCTACAACAGATTCCATCCGCATAGATCGTAATACTCGGCGATTTTAATGCTCACCACGCCAAATGGCTCGGTTCACGATTAACCGATCATGCAGGGAGATCTGTTTATGACTTTGTTTTGGCATATGGTCTGACACAACTGGTTAGTTCACCCACGCGGATTCCAGATGTGGAAGATTATACACCTTCCCTGTTGGAACTTCTGCTGACCTCTGATCCGGAGTGTGGTGCCACTCACGCTCCATTCGCGGTTGCGTTCCGCAGGTTGCCACCGTGTTTGGCATTACAGGTCTGTGAATTGGGACGGAATGTGGTATTTCCCTGCATACTACCCACGGGGACGGATTTTCTTAGCACCGAATGATCCCAGCGCTGAGAAAAATGAATAAATAGTTCCATTAATAAATAGCACACAGTAGTGAACTACTCGTATTTATTCATTTATTCCATCATCTGTGATACTCGTCGGAGGCAGATCTAAACCTTGATCTGATCGCTCCTCTAAGGCAGCATTACGCAGTAAGCAGGAGTGTTATCAGTCCTGGACTGACACATCGGCGGCATAGGATGTAAACACTTCGCCTCTAGGTCCTTTGAAAGAGTTATTGCCAAGGCAAAGTGTGAGCATGTTCGCAGAATTGGCGAGAAATTAGTTCGCCTTTCTTCGGCAACCCGTGCGTTCTGTTCTCTCACTAAGGCTGGCTAAGGGAATTTCTGTAAGCCATCACTACCATCTCTGCACAGGGAGGACGACACGGTAGCCCTCGCCACAAAAGAGAAAGCAGATCTTTTAGGCTCTCTTTCTGCGTCCAATTCGACGGCGGGAACACACCGCCAACCATCCCGCGGTGTGAGTCCTTTATACCTTATGCGTGATTTATACAGTGCTCAGTACATAAAGCGCTCCTCTCCCTGGACATCCACAAGTCGAGTGAGCCCAACGGAATCCCCCCAAGATTGCTGAGGACGTTTGCTCCAGAGTTGGCACCAGTTCTAAAGCGTCTTTTCCGGTACCCCTACTCCCTATGGGTAGTCCCGAAATCATAGAAGACAGCTTTCGTGCAACCGATTCCTAAAAAAGGTAACGGCTCTGATCCATCCAACTACAGGCCTATCACCATCACCTCCTTGTTCTCCAAAATAATGGAGAGTGACGGCCAGAACGGTTTCCGTCGGGGTCGCTCTGCTGGTGATCTTCTTGTTTATCTAACACATCGATAGGGGCATGCGATCGAGTCCAAGAAGATCACTTTCTTGTTTTTGTATTGGCACTTATATGAATTTTATTGATATTCCGATCTGTAATGACTTGACTTATCGACTCTTCAAATTATAATGTTAGCACTGTATATTCAACAATACTCACTTAACATTATGGCCCACAGAACAAAGTTGTGGAAGATAATCATGTGCATATTTTTTTGGAAAAGGACCATGTCTTCTCACTATAACTTTAGGAATATATTTCTTGTAGTTTCTAACAACATCATTCAATGGTAATTTTTCTTCCAGTATGGCACGGGTCCTGCGAAAAAGCAATAATTATTTAACAAAATTTAAAATAAATCGACTATAAAGTCTTAAAAACATAAACTCATTGATTATGAAGTCAGTAAATAGCCTGAACTTTCACTCCTAATACAAATTACAAATAATACTAAAAGAATGGATTTATGATCATGTCATGTCAGTTACAGTCTGCTATTATTGACTGTGTAATAATGGTGTTAGAATATCCAATACCCCATATTGTCTTGCGGGTGTAGTAAGTTGGTGGGTGCAGCAACAAAGGGAAACAAACAAAGAGCTGGCCAGCAGTGTCATCCAATAACAATTAAAAAATAAAAGATTGTGGTAGCTAACCCGCCTTTCAAGCATGGCAAATGCGACAAATATCGCCGCTATAAAGCAATCTATGGGGGAGGCCTATGATCAACAGTGGAATTTTGATTGACTCCTGGTAATAATAACTTTTTTTGCTTCCTTTATTTACAACTATCTGTCGCCTTTGAGGGACATTCAGCAGTATGTTTGTTGGTGCTATCGCTGGCGTGCTCGGTATGTGACCTGTGTCACATCCTCATTATTAAACAGTAACTCCGTTTACTGTGTTTGTGTTTGTATTAAATCTTGGGGTATCTTGCGCTTTAAGCGTCACGCTTTGTTGTGGTTTGCCATGAGTGGCCGGGCCAGAGTATTTGGATGACGTTCGATGCACTCTTTATAAGTTCTAATATGGCGTAGGATTTCCTGTTTCACAGTAGGCAGGTGTAGATCAGTGGCGAAGCTTCCATTAAAGCCGAAAAGCCGGGCTTGCCTTATTAAACTTGACATCAATCAATAATACCAACTAATAAAATAACTCGTAAAATGTTTCAAGCTATTTCAAATTTCCCGCGCACTCCACTGTTCGACACATGTCGACCTCGTATTGCCTTAGCGATACTGCTGCTGTCATAAAAAATGAGTTTTAATAGAGCTAATAGTTGTCTCCCTCGCTCGCGTGGGCTTTTTACGGGGCTTTCGAGAAGACGTTCGCTCTCTTTCTAACTTATGGCAAAATATTCTATAATGAAATATAACTACGATTGTATATATAGCAATTAGTATAGAGATTTAAAGCCAGGCTTTTGGGAATAAATTTGTTAAAAGCGGAGGCGCGCGGGCAATACGTTTGCAAGTTCATTTCACCTTTCAATGTTTATTTACTCTGTGTGCTTATCTTAAGCGATTTAATATTACGAGTTCAAAATTTATGCTTTTTTAAAGATTTTTAATGAAAATGGAGGATAATAGTGTTCCTTGTGATGAATTGAAGTGTGTTAAAGTGATAATCGGAGAGGAAATCTTTAAACTTTGTTGAGATAATACACAAGGTTAAGAGTGTATTTCAGACTTATCAATTATCGCAATTAAAAACAGTTATTTGTACAATTAAAACGTTCACCAACATTTTACGTGGACGTAATTAAATCTTTCCATAAGAAAGCGAGAAGATTCCACTTATCTTATCTTATCTCTTATCCATTAGAATGTAAATAATTTTTTTTATAATTTTGTACATAGTTTGTTTGTACTTTGCTCGTGTTTTACTTTTGTTCATGTATTGTATTGGATGTAAATATTTTTTTTTCTTTCACTTAAACAAACCCTGAATATGAAACTGAAGCGTGGAGACAGATCAAGATTGGTGTATTTTTATAAAACTGCTAAAAACAACAATCTATATTTTTATCAATTTATATCTTGGACTTGCCCTAGCTTGGAGCTCTAGCTTCGCCACTGGTGTAGATCATGATGTAGTAATTCGTTGGGCACATACCAGGGGGCATTGGTTATCATGCGGAGTGCTTTATTTTGAAACCTTTGTAATATTTCTATGTTTGAATGGGATGCACTACCCCACAGTTGGATTCCATACATCCAGATAGGTTTCAGTATTGCCTTGTACGGAAGTATTTTGTTTTCTAGAGACAATTGAGACTTTTGCCCTATGAGCCAGTTGAGTTGTCGCGTTTGAATACCGAGTTGCTTTCTCTTAATGAAAATATGTTTTTGCCAGGTAAGTCTTTTGTCCAAGTACAATCCAAGGTATCTCACATGATCTGCCTGTGGAACTACAATGTTGTTAAGTGTGACTGGGGGGCAAGTAGCCTCTTCTTAGTGTTAATAGTAATAGCAACTATATGGTTAACATTTTTGGGTACAGCCCATTGGTAGTAGCAGAAATAGTAATAACCCATTTGACTAACAAAAGTATCTTCGTTTTCTGCTTTTTTATCAGCCTAAATAAGTTTACAAGAGCATGCCCAGCACCATGGACCTATTCCGCTAGTAGGCCTACTTACCTAACCTAGCCCACCCAGACAAACCCAACTAGGCAAGAAAAGTAATCCCACAATCGAAAGTTCCAACATTTTAAAAATTCTACTTTTTTTTATAGAAGAGGGGGCAAACGAGCATGCGGCTCACCTGATGTTAAGTGACTACCGCCGCCCATGATCAACCGCAACACCTGGGGAATTGCAGGTGCGTTGCCGAGTACTTTTCTATACTATTCTAATACTTTTAAAATATTGTATACGAAAATAATATTTACAGATTTAATTATGTTTTATTTACCTATTATTTATAAATGCCTAAACTTTCAAGTGACATCATCAGTGAAAGGGGACTGAGGTGATTAGTTTCAATCACAGCAATCATCATTCATTGTAATACTCACGTAAACATTAGAAATCATTACTCCTTAGTAAGGCCAGCAACTTTTTTAGCTCCTTGTGTTAGGGCTTTTTAAGGCCAGTTGTAAGATTAAAGACATAAGCAATATGCTTTACTCTTATATCTTTCCTTTAAATGGAGACTTCAAAGTTACATCTCTATTTTGTTTATTAGTAAACCAACATTTATTAAGGGAAATTGTAAAAATAATGTGAATGTGTAGCCACAAAAAATTGTTACACACAATTTAGGATAATAAATTTGAAAAACATTAATATTTTCAGTTAAATTGCAAGTAAATTTGGCCAATTTTATGGCACTTATTTACATTTTCCTCCTTTTTTGAAGTTAAAAGTAAATAAGTCTCTTAATTTTCAAAAATAGGTTCAAAAGATTTGTTGCTCAAACTTGTTGCAATAAAAGATGTAGTTCTATAAACCAAAAAGAGTCACGAAATAAATTGGCACGTACCGGTTACTTACTTCTTACGTACGTTACTTAACTTCAATAGAATTCCCTTCAAATATTTAATACTCTTTGGCCAGAGCTTAATGATGCAAAAAACAGAACATCCCATTACTTTCAGTTACAAATTTTAGTCTTATGTCATCTCCTTCCTTCTTCACTAACATTTCTATCTTTAGCAGTATCACTGCCTACTTATAGATTTTTTCTCATCAAAGTTAAATTTACTTTTTTTTATAAGAGTGACAAACAAGCACTCAGTCCACCTGATGGTGAGTGGATGCTGTGGCCCATAGACATTTACATCCATCCTCTATGAAGAATCAAAATGTAAACACGTTGCCATTGCTGAGTACTAAGATACAATGCCTCGTTTACAGCAAAAACCTTCTCCGGTTCTCTACACTCACAACACAGCATTAAGCTCTAACTGGTATTCTGTGAGAGCGTGGTTCTTCCCCGGTCGAGCCGACCCATTCGTGCTACAACTATACTACTAATATAACTGCAGCATGGCTATTATTATGGCAATAATATTAAAAAGGAGAGTGTCGATTTTAACGATTTTTTTTCTAACATCTTCCATTGAAGCGTCATTTTTTATTTTTTTATAATTTGGTAGTAACTTCTGAAGTGCCTTCATGCGCTTACAATTGTTTTTAAAACCATCATACGATGTGTCGTATTATATGGGCGTTGTTTCCAAACCTGATATAAAAGCCTGTAAATATTTTTGATGGATTGTAGATGATCCCGTCGAAACAGGATTCTCGCTTTCGTTTGCGATGTCGACCGCATCGCTACAAAATTCGTCCTCTTCCATCGCTTCTCCAGAGCAGACTGACGCGATCCGTATCGCAGCAACACTACACGCGCAATATTTATCACGATCCTTGGATCGCGATATGGATTTTCGGAAATCTAGAAATTCTGTGATCCGTATCGCGATCCATCAATACTTGATACTACACGTTCAATAAATATCACGATCCTGGATCGCGATCCAAGGATCGTGATAAATATCACGCGTGTGTCATTCGCCTAAGGACCGGGCCGACCGAACAACTGAAATGGACCAGTGCGCTGGCCCTAAAATTAAAGTTTAGGGCCAACGCGAATCGGCCGACAGTGATGCGCGCGCATGACAGATTTGCCTGTCATAAATATGTCTAGTTGCGTAATAAAAGAATGCAAAAATTACGATACAAAGTGACAAAGATTTAAAAAAAACATGGGATATCGTATTATCGGTAAATAACCTTATATTAATTTTATCCCAGAAAGGGAGCTACATAAACACTCACGCCTGTCACCCAGAGGAGTAGGCAGACACTACAGATTTCAATTTGGCACGATCGTCAGGATCAATCCTGAAACCTCTCTCGCCTCCTTCACATCCATACATCTACGCATACATGCTCGTCGGTTAAGGGTACTCCTAATTTGGACCGTTTTCAATAAATCGCCAATTTGGTCGATAAATTTTCGCCTAGGACGTCCCTTTCCGACTCTGCCATTCACTTCTGCAACATAAATTTTCTTTGTCACTCTTTCCTCATTAATTCTTTCCACATGACCAAACCACCGAAGCATTCCTTTCTTAATCCTGGTCACAACATCATCTTGCAAACCACACTCTTCTCTTATTACACAATTTCTTACCCTGTCATTCAGATTCGGCTAAAAAAGAAAAAGGGAAAAAATATTTTGTAATAAAAATTCTAATTTTATTAAAAAAACGCGGTACTCATGTACAATACAGAAATTCTCGGTGTCGTAAGGTTAATATTAAAATGTAAAAGGACCCAATAATAATACAAGTCGACCTTTAGGTAAAAT